GTCTAAATCTATCTATCTGTCTGTCTATCTATCCATCAGTCTGTCTGTCTGTCCATCCGTTCGTCATTCTATATATTGTTCTATCATTCTATCGTTCTATCTATCTCTGTTTTGTCCATCCATCCATCTGTCTGTTGTTCTATGTATCTTTCTATCATTCTATTGTTATATCTATCTGTCCATCTTTCCTGTTCTGTCTGGCTGTCTGGCTTTCCAACTATGCATTAATTGTTTCATCTATAATTCCATCTTTCTGTCTCTGTCTTGAAAATGGGAAATCATAGCAAATAATAAGATGTTAATAAGATGTTGTTGTAATAAAAGCATAAAAAAGTAATATTATATAATTTGAACAGAGACTGTATGCAGAAACTTAACACCTCAAAAGTATACAATAAGAATAACTAATTAATTAAATAATTAGCCTAAGTAATAGTTATACACAGATGGCACACCCAAGTTCAACAGAATTAGGGTTGTACTAGTTGTGTAGATTGTTTCTGCCATTTATAGTCTATACAGGATGGGCCAGGCCTTGGATTTATGCTGCTTTCATGTGTTATGAAGTATAGCAGTGGACCTATATGACCCCATTTCCACCTCTTCAAGAACAAAGGTTAAAACTCTGGCTATGTGTTCATCCTGTTAGATCTTTAAAAGTATAGTGGTTTAATATGCATTTCTGACACAGCTCAAGCAACATCTTTCACTCAGTCTCCTAAAGACCTTGACACTATATGAAACACATCCATCACTTCACGTTTTTCATATGGATTTACATCAGAAAATGGCCTGTTGAAGGTCAGCTGTAATCACGCCGCTCTGGCGTGTGAGATGCACACAGCCATTTCACGGTCTGCCCTCAGCATCACCTCAAATCCAGACATCAGATTTGAGACTTGCTTAGGCTTCCTCCGCTCTCATCCGGCAGGAGGGGTATCTGTTTAGCAGCAGTTCATCTGTGAGATGAATCTGAGGGAAAGGTCAAATCTTGCTTCATCAGAAACCTGTTTGGCCCTCACAGCTGGAGATGGGAAGGGACAGACGGCTGTTCTGGCTGGTATGTGGGAAACAAAATAGCCTGTTGGAAACTAATGAGAGGGAGAGGTGGGAAAACTGAGGTGAATGACAGAGGGGAAGGAAGGTTCATTCCCCCAGTGCTCAGTCATGTACCCCAAGCTCAGCTGAATACCAATGTGTCCATGCATGAGATTGAGGGACTAATATTAGGAATGTGAGCAGTGATCCATGTCCTTTATTTCCCTTTCTCTTTCTTTCTAGATCTTTCTACTTTTGCATTCTTAAAAGTTTCCTGAGTGAATTAAATCTTTCTCTATTTTACATATTTTATACATTATGAATACACTGTAAAAAAAATAATAATAATATAATCTACAGTAACATATACATATGGTAACATCCAACATTGGGGTGTTTTATAAAAGCTACACACATGTAATTTTCAATATTCAATATTCAAACAATATATATATATTATAATGCCACGATTATAATGCTTTACACTGCATACACATTGAGGAATAGTTTAAAAGACTAACACAGAGGACGACCTTTTCCACCTGAAGTGTTGTCATTTTTACTGTTATTAACTGTGCTAAATATAGGGCAGTCTTGTACAGGCCATCAGGAGCATCCTGAAAAGAGAAATCCTGGTGTCCTGCTGATTGTTTGTATCTATTTATTTTATTCGTTATTACTTTATTTTTATTGTATGTCTGATGCATCCAAATGATTTGGGGATTTGCCATTCGATAATGAATTGAAATCAATCATAGTACTCTTGAATTGGTGCACTATAGCTACAGTATATAGCTTGTACAATCGCCTCATCTTCGATGAACTGCCTTTACTGTAATGAACAGAGTTAATAACTGCTAGATTTAAGGGTATTTTAAGGCAACGAAAAGTAGTGTTAAGCGTGGAAGCGCAGGCGGTTGCCGTGGTAACAAAGAATACCTGCTTGTTTGTGAATCTGCACCTGATGCGATTACTGTATAAATAGTGTATTGTGAGAGCTAAAAACCTAACAAAATTAAAGAAATGTTGCTTAAATTTTTATTTATTTATTTATTTTTGCTAGAGGTTAGATTTTGTTTATTCAAATTATTCTGAAGTCACACTATAGCAAAAATATCTATTGATAAAGTATATGAAAAATATATATATATATTTTTGCTTTTGCTTTTCATGGTCTGAAAACTGAATTGTGAGGCGTTACACAGACCATATCTTGCAATTCTGACCTTTTTCTCAGAATTGCAAGATATAAACTCAGGATTGCAAAATAGAAACTTGGAATTCCGAGAAAGTTAGATTTGCAAGATATAAACTCAGAATTCTGACTGACATTCTCAGAATTCTAAGATGACATTTTCCATACGTATTTTAATTCTAAGTTTATATCTCAAAATTCTGTTTTTTTTTCCCACCATGGAATAAAAAAGGTAATTGCGACTTTTTATCTCACAAGTATTACTTTATTTCTTGCCATAGGGAGTTTAAATCTCACAATTCAGACTTTTCTTCTCAGAATAGCGAGTTTATGTCTTGAAATATAAAAAAAAAGTTCAGAATTGTGAAATACTGTAAACTCAGAAAAAACTGTGACCATGTTTATCCTGTGGCAGAAACAAGCTATCACATAAAACAATTATTTTACTATTTTTAATTCTATTTTTGATCAAATCAACGTAGCCTTGATGAGCATAAGAAACAAAAACATTTTTTAAAAATTGTGCCGACTGTGTATAAATATGAATTTTCATGAGGGTCATTCTGAAAGTTTTTAATTTTCATGTTGAATCTCTTTTTCTGTTCCATAGAAGAAAGAAAGCCATAAGGGTTCAGAACAGACGTTCTGGAGATCTTTAATTTTTTGATGAACACTTTCTTTCATTTCTAATTGGTGCTGAAGTTTGAGAGTATATATTTTTTACTTGACTGAAAATGTATTACTGAGGCAGAGCTTCAAGCATGAACATGATAAAACTGTAATGACTGAATTTTAATTATCAGGTCAAACAGATCACTCTGTGATTAATGTGCAGCACACTCCCATTGATACTGTCCTGCCTGTAGCGTCGCTTTGCAGACAGCTGTCTGTATCTCCTTCATCTTGTATTAGAAACCAATATTGCAAACATAATGTCTGCATCTGAACATCAATATTTGAATCCAGAAATTATCAAATAGATTAACTTTGTTAAGTGACTGAAATCATAAGAACACAATACAAACACAAATCACCAAAACGGGCATAACAAATCACATTCCGAGTCTCTCTCTTTTAGTGTCAGCGTGTTAGCAGATGGTAAACTATTCAAAAATTATGCCATATGATTTATCATCGCCTAGGTGCATTATCATCACAAAATCCTACATGCTACATCTATAAGGCTGCGCAGATATCCCATCAGGCAGGGTTTAGACCAACATAATGCAATTTATTTTTCATCTCTTCAGTTCTGTCTGCTGCTGTTTTTTCAGAGTCATCGAGTGTTTTTTATTTATTTAGTCTGGACCGTAACAACTCCAGGAGCTGTTGTCTTCTGCTACCTGTCTTATTCCTCTCTTTCTGGGCTGCCAGTGTCCTTCCAGTGCCCTTCTTCTGCTCTCTTTATCTCCTCAGAACATCTGCCTCGGCGGCAGGTTGCAGGTGGCAGTGGAGTCGATGTCCCCTGGCTCTCTTACACTCTCTTAAGCTTCTGTCTTGTACTGATCCCCGGACACCCTAAACTGCTGATCCTCACTTTATGTCCTCGCTCTGACTCTCCCTTTGCCTGCTGCAGTGTGTCGCCGGCCAGCACCATTCTGTCTTATGTTTGCAATGAAGATAGTTAGGAACTAAATGGACTTAATTTACTTCTAAATATCAACTTTGCATTTATGCACACATTTTTAAAAATTCATGGTTAAATAATATTTCCACTGTTAATAATTTAACAATTAAGGCTGGATTGGAAATGATGCACAATAAGAATATTCTGCTCATAATTCAGAATATATTTTTTTAAATCACTTTTCTTCATACTTTGCGTCTCTCATTTTAGTTATTTGATACTGTTACCTTCTTGGTATCTTGATTGCAAATAAAATAAAACTTGATTAGGGGCAATATTTATTGGTTTTCTGTGAAATTACCCCACAGCTGTGGGACAGTCACAAATTTAAAAAAAAAAGATCATCCATCATATGTGCACAAATATTGAAAGTTTTTTTAATGTTTATATCACTCTTTTAAATTGTCATAGTTTTATCATGTAATATGATATAAGTCATATGTTTTATGATGGATTTTCATCGTTTATTAAAAAAAATCTATATGTAAAAGATGATATTGAAAAAAAAATTTAATGTGAACTAAAAATAAGTCACAATCTGTTAGTATTAATAAAAATCAACCCTTGGGACATAAAAGTGCCAGAAGATGAAAAATTAGCAACAAGATTTGAGGTATTTTGAGATAAACAGGATATTCAAAGAGAAAAATGTTTGAATTGGATTTGATTGGATTGTGAGAAGTAGGTATTACGTGCCAGAATGGAGCCATGTGGTTGAAAGGGAGAGGCTGAAAAGGGATCGTTTCTTTAATATTAATGGTTAGATTTACGACATTTAATGATCCTTCAAATATGCCTTTAACAAATGTCCAAAAGCCTCCAGCTAAGAGCACAGATAAAACATCTGTAGGACAATCTGTTCTTAGACCTCCAAGAGAAGCAAAAACAGAAAAATACAGATGCTCCTCTTGAACAACACCATTAAAGCTGATCTTTGTTAAATTACAAAAATCTTGTAGATTATCCTGTAGAGTATGATGTCCAATTTGTACTCTTAAAAAACCCTTTTAAGAGCAAACATAACATTTACAAAAAATCAACATTTGTTGCTGTTCTGTTTTTCTCTAGCCCCTCTGTGACACAAGCACAAAGACTTTAGATCAATACAACAAGATAGTAAGTGTTGTGCACTTTCTCTAGGTGCTGGGGGCTGGTCTCCGCTGGACAGTGATCATTACCAGTGGCTGCAGGTCGACCTGGGAAACAGAAAACAGGTCACAGCCATCGCCACGCAGGGTCGATATAGCAGCTCTGATTGGACAACACGCTACCGGCTGCTCTATAGTGATACAGGCAGGAACTGGAAACCATACCATCAAGACGGCAACATCTGGGTGAGTATCATAATAATGCATAAGCTGTAATATTTACTGTAGGACTTTATTCTTTATTCATTAGGTTTTTCTCTTCAACAATATATACTATCGTTGAAAGGTTTGGGTCGGTAAGATGCTTTATTTATTTATTGTCTCTTAGCTTACCAAGGTTGTTTTATTTGATAAAAATACTGTTATATTGTGAAATAATATTATAGTTCAAAATAACTGTTTGTATTTTAATTTATTTAACTGTGATGACAATTTGTAATGATAATTACTGTAATGATAATTTTCAGCATCATTACTACAGTCTTCAGTGTCACATGATCTTTCAGAAATCATTCTAATATGCTGATTTGCTGCTCAAGAAACATTTTTAATAATTAATGCTGAAAACAGTTGCTTCTTGATTTTCTTGAGGAAACAGTGATATTTTTTTCAGGATTCTTTGATGAATAGAAAGTTTAAAGGAACAGCATAACTTTTGAATGGTTGTGTATGTGGAAAATCTAACACTTAAAGGTCCCATATTGTCAAAACTGAAATTTCCTGGCTTTTTTTATGATAACTGAGGTCTAGGTGCTATGTAACTACCATACAAGTTTCAAAACAGTCAGTCCACAGTAAAATTCACACAGCCTGCTTAAAGTAGCTGTGATTTTTCACAAACCGTTGTGACTTCCGTAAAAAGAACTACACAGTCACCGCCTTCATTCACCACCCCGAGCACTACCCACCGTCCCACTCTCCCTAAAATAAAACTCCAGAAAGGTGTAAAATATGGGACCTTTAATTATTGATTAAAGGGTTTTATCTGTATTTCACATGCTCTTCTTCATTCTAGTGTTCTTGTACTTTATACTGACACCTAGTGGTGTGGATGCATGAGGTTGGTTTACTGATGGCTGCTGCTTTACACCAGAGGTGTTTGATTGTCTTTGGTTTGGTCTTTTCTGTTTGAATTTCTCACCATTTTATTGTTTTGTTTATATGAGCTTAAATGATGGAAACCTTGCATGCTGGCTAGAACACTATAACGTAAGTAGCAGTAACTTGGCCAATCTTTAAACACACCACCTTGTATAGTGTCCCAACATGGCAGCTCCCATGAATTGGTGACCCACTTCATGTAGTATGAACCAGCTTTTTCTAGAAGACCAGTGTCATCATCTTATGTGAGTGTACATCATTTTAATCAGATTTCTTATTCATATTTTAATCTAATTGCTTTTCAGTTGTTTACACATTAAGCTTTTTTTTTTAAATTAGAAAATGACATCTTTAATGTGTGTAATGTTATGACTTAAATTAGAAAATGACATTAAACATCAAGATTGTCCCTTTACATATTCATAAGGCGTGGTGGTTGTGGTAGCAGGATGTTAGCCTACCTCTTTCAAACACTGAGCTCACCAAGGACAGCTGAAGATCAATGAGTCAAGAGGCTGCCTTGATTTCTTCCTGGGTGCTTTAATCAACAGTAAGCAATCAAGGAAGCACTTAGATCCAGAGAAAGACACTGACCACTGTGTTCAGTACTCACAGCAGTGAGGAGTGGAATTATTGCTGGACCCACCAGCAATCCACACAGGGTGGTCTCAAAGGAGAAACTTAATTGTCTTTTATCCTGCACCACGAAAATGTTGCTCCTGGACATCCTCAGCTCTCTTCAGAAGATTAATCATTTGATATGTCCAAGTTAGACTCTAGTCCAAGGGACGAGACTTCAGACTAGGCAAAAACAGCTTTAAACTTTTAAAATCAAGTCCTAAGGTCTCACTTCCATTTCTATGATGGTTAGAAAATCGGTTACAGTGGAATGGACAATTGATGTATTTAATGTTACTTTTAATAGTTATTTTTATAATAAATAACATTAAATTAATGTTATTTATTTTATTTTTTAATGGCTACAACAGCTAATCAGTAAACGCAATAATAATCCAAAATTATAATCGACAAGTCTTGAACTATTTTTTTTTTTATTATTGTGGGCAAGTTTTAGAATGTGATATTAATATATAGCCATAATTATATTTTATGTACATGCATAGTACACATAGATGGACTATGCATAGTTCACATAGATATAAAAAATATATTTTTTATATATTTCATTAATTAAACACATACTTGACCAATTAATCAAAATAATTGATAGTTGCAGCACTAGTATTTACAAGCTTATGCTGAGTTTTTCAGGGAATGGCATAAATCTGTTATAAAGTTTGTTCCTCACAAAAAGATGTGGCTTCTGAAAACTGTATAAATCAATGTGCTTGTGTCATTTTTCAAAACTGACAGTAAAAAAAGTATATGGAAAAGAACAGCTCAGACTTCCTTTTTGTCCCACGGAAGACAGAAAATATTACAGGATTCGAACCACATGATGACAGATTTTGCATTTTCACCCTAAATGTTAGCCTTGGGTGATTTGATCCTCTTGAATATGATGCTTGAATGACATTTTTGGAAAGTCATGTGATTTAAGAGTGACATTTCGGTGGTGCATGATAAAAGACTCTAGAGCGGCGTTTCCATATGAGAGCGTGTTGGATCCACTTACTACATTCCCAACAACCTCTGATTTGCCACTTTACATCACTTTTAGTGTTTTGATGAGTGTTCTTCTGGCTGCTTTTGTCTTTCAATAAGAAGCCTTTATATGGGGAGTGAATGAGGCAAAGCTGAGGTCATTAGCCAATTTTTTGATCTATATTTTTTGGGGGGGGAAAACTATGGTGCATCAAAATGTTTATAAATTAGTTGATGGAAATGCTAATTATCAATCACTATTTTGCTTTTTCTGTGTAACTTTAACGCACAAATTGTCAGTAATTATTTAAATTGTTTAAATTAATTTAACAAAAAAAATTGTTTGGAAGAATGTTCAGCAGTAATACACTGTCAGTTTGAATTGTGGCCTTAAAATATGCTCTGTATTTTAACAGTTCATTGCCTGTAATTTTATGAACCTGTAATTTACTGTAATTTGATAGAGTCCATCTGAAAACTTTGCTGTCAGACTTTTTACCCTTTTTTTACCCTTTTTTTTTGTATGTCAGTACCTCAAATGTCCAAAAACGCTAGTTTGGAAACACTGTTTAATGAATGATTATCAACAGTAATATACTGTATCAAAAGGTATATACTTTACAGACCTTTACATGCTCTGTATTTTTAGTTAATTTTGATGGAATCCGTGTTGATTCAAATGACTCCAAATGTCGAACAAATAGTTTGGAAACACTTTGTTGTGAAAAAGGACTTGAATGCAAATGAATGTAGTGTCACATGACAGAATTACACATCCCTATGTAGGTCCCATTAAGGCTCTGTTTCTCGGAAATTGATGCTTTATTCAAAATTTGCGTGGAAAGTGTTGCAGCTGTCATGAAAATACAAACTGACATCACAGGTACCACCACCACTTCAGCTCTGAGGTGTTTCCTGTCATTAACCATCCTTACATTGCTTTGCAGTCACTTTTGAACTCTTTTGGTTTTCAGTTGGAAAAGGAAGTGAAGCTATTTTCCTTTCTGCTTTCTGAAGTGAGGAGCCCTTGGATTCCAGTTCGTCTCTAGAACATTTACAGGTCATGATGCATTACTGTTTAATGCAGGCTAGATCGATAGTATTCTAACATTAAGAAGACTAAAGTGGGAATTACGGATCGTTTCAGTTGCTACAGCAGTATAATATTGGCCATTCGGCATCAGTGAACTGCTGCCTACAAGACTGACAAAAGTGAATGGGCAAAATAACAAAAAAGGGCGAACAAACAGCCCTGCTAAATTAGCTTGATTGAGGAGCATATGTTTTTACATTCAGTTTGAAATCTGATTGCATGCCCCCTCTTGAAGAAATTCACCACTCAAGGATAACCAGTCTACCAATCATGGTTTCAGTATTAAAGCAGCAATCAAAAGTAGACTTTCACAACATCCAGCGTCCAATTGATTTATATGCAGTTCAGTTTTTTTGGAATGGATCTTTTTTTTTTATTCCTGAATAATTTTCATCACATTTTGTGCTCTGCCTTTAATTATTTTTCTTTGACAGGCTTATATGCTTGAATATTAATTAAGACCTTTCGTGTTGCTAATGAATAATGGTTAGTTGTTGTGCTTTTATATGACATGTGCAGCATCTTTAACATTCTGGTTTGGTTTGTGGACTTTAAATGCATTTAGAATTTTTTTTCCAGACATTTGTCAATCATACTGTCATTATTTTTCCTCCAAATAAGTTCAGTTCAGGATAAATGGCAGTTCGGATTAAGGATATATGACAATGAGAAGAGATAGGAAGAGTGTATACTAGCATTTAAAGTAAAAGTCATATGCCATTTATCAGAAAAATGACAAACCACTATGTATTGTGGTGACGTATGATGTCCTTAGCCTTTAACGCTAAGCTATGTTCATATCATCAGTGAAGGTGCTCTTTGTCCCTGCAATACATCTAATATTGTGACTTTACTTTATCCCTGATGTAAGATGAATGAGACGACAGCAATTTCCGTTTACCTCCGATTCTTAAATGTGACGTTGGCAGTGGAGCCAGTTTGGGATTTATGACATGTCAGATTTGCAGTATTGCTCAGAATAAAATGTTTGCTTTGTGACCATGTAATTTATTTGTACTGCCATGTTGTTGTGTTCATCAGGGAAAGGAGAAGACTTCCTGACATGGTTGTTTATCTAGGTCAGACTTAGTTAGGGAATAATAATTTACCTCAGAATGTACAAAAGATGAGCGAATGTATTTCTTTATGAAAACCCATTATGTCGTGAATGGCATGGAATGGTAATTTGTCTTTGCTTCAGTTGTGTTTTGAAATGTGTTTGTGCTGGTTGAGCACATCTCTGCCCATATCAGACAATGACTTAATGCTTGCCTAGTGTTAGATTTCCTATGTAGCGCTCTAGACTTTTGACAAAGGACTGGCTTATAAATAGAGGTGGGTAATGAATCATGCTAGTCAGCTATTCAACTGGTCATCCAGCAACTCA